CAAACAAACAAAAGATGGCAACTAGGGTTCCAATTCCAGGTCTGGTGAGCTTGAAAAACACACAGGGCACACATGCAAGCACCCAGGGTCTGATGGGCTGGAGGACTGGAGGAGGGCTGATGGCATGAATAGAGCCTATGGAGGGTGCCCCACCCATGCTCACATGAATGTGTTCTACCCCGAATAAAGCAAAACAAACAGACAAAATGAACACATTTATAGATGCTCATCTGATGGTAATCGACAATCATATTTTCAAGAACCTTTTATAAGAGGAAATTCACTAGGTGCTACATCCTCACGTGACAGTTTTTTTCCTTTTTCTCTTAAATATGCATTGTAATTTATGATTTACATATAATCTTTACACATCTTTGTAGGGTACCGAATGGTCTTTAAAAGCATGGATATGGGGTGTAATAAACAAATCGAGGATATAGACATGTTCACTGCCTTCAACATTTGACATTGTATCACACTGTGAACACGCGAAACCCACTCCAGTGGTTATTCTGCAAGTATGCACTGAATGGCTTATGATGTTCTTTACTATTAGAGAGAGTTCTAAAGAACAATGTATTGATTAAAAATCAGGCAAAAACAGGGACCAGTGGATGGGGTAATGGTTACATCACTGGACTGCAGTTTGAATCCTGAACAGGGAGACTTAAAACTCACGCCGGGCATGTGTGCCCCAAATCCTGAGAGGAGAATGGAAGAGAAGGGATTGCAGCAAGGCCATGCCCTCTGGTAGGTGATTTCTCACTTTTCCTCTCTCTGGTGAGTGCATGTGCCATATAGCAAAAATCTCTTTTAAAAAGATCAGGCAAAAACAACCTCATAAATTAACAAAGATAACCATAACATAACCAATCAAGGAAGAATTTGTAATTTCCATGTACAGCACTATGGGAGATAAGAGTTTATAATCTGAAAAAAAGTTGTGTATATCAATCATTGGTTCATCTAGAGCTAGGTAAAATTGTACATAACAATAACTCAAAAGGAAGAGAAAGAAAAAGACTATCTTTACTCAAACCCTGTGAGTTCTTTTTTTTTTTTTTTTTGGAGAGGTTTTCACTATAGGGTGCATGCACTTGCTGGACAGACAGAGAGAGACAGAGAGACAGAAAGCGAGAAATCACCCCCCAGGGGGGATGGTCACGCTGCAATCCCTTCTCCTCCATTCTCCTCTCGGGATCTTGGGCACGCACGCACACGCGCCCGGCATGAGTTCTAAGCCACAGGGTCCGGGATGCGAACCACGGTCGACATAGCCATTACATTAACTGCTGGTCCCTTCAAACCCTGTGAGTTCTTACAAGACCATAGTACTATACTGTGCATGAAGAAATAAGTCCTTAAGAAAGCAGAAGTAAAACAAATTTGGAAAGAGATGTTTAAAAGTGAAGACATGGTAAAGCCAGTGTGACTTGGTGATTTATAGGCTTTACAAAGTTCTTCACTTTAGCCCTTTAAAAAGAATAACTCCAAAGAAAAACTCACCCGTAACATTTTGGACTTTTCCTCTATTATCTAGTTTTATACAATGAGTAATGATTAAAATAAATATATAAATTGAAATCTGTGGTGAGAAATATTTATCAAATGGATGGGTTGTATTTAAACTTGCTTGTGTGTAAACTAGTTGAATCTGAATTTAGTCCTGACATTCAACGTTATGATCACTGTGTGTGGACTTACCCTTTTTTCCTAGTTGTTTTGTGTTCTCTTCTATTTACCTCCCTTTAGCTTTCCTGGTATATTAATCCCTTGAGTACTTCCTGAAGAGCTGGTTTTGCTTTGGTGAGTTCTTTCAGCATTTGTTTATCTGGGAATGATTTTATTTTTCCTGCCCATTTGAATGATAATCTTGCTGGGTAGAGTACTCTTGCCATTCTTTCTTTGCCTGCATCGTTTCAGCTGAGAGATCCAATATTAGTCTAACAAGGTAACCCTTCTCAGTAATTTGGTGTTTCTCTCTTGCCAGTTTTAGAATTTTGTTTTTGATTTTTACCAATTTGGCTATGAGATGCCTTGGAGACGGGTTTCTTATGTTATATCTCTTTGGTGTCCTTTGTATGTCCTGGATTTAAATGTCTGCATGCCTCTCTAAATTTGGAAAGTTTTCAAGTAGAATGTTATGAAAGATGTTTTCTATGACTTTGTCTCTTCACCTTCCAGAATACCTGTTATATGAATATTTGGCAGCTTAATGGTTTCTAATATTTCTCATATGTTATCCTTATTTTTATTGGCTATTTTTTATTCTTTTCAGTTGCTTGGTTTAAATCAGAGGTTTTGTCTTCAAGGTTGGAGATTCTTCCGTATGGTCTAATTTGCCGCTGATACCTTTGAGGGAGGTTTTGATTTCCTGCATCATATTCTTTATCTCCAGAAATTCTTTTTGATTTTTTTTTTTTCAGTGTGTCTCTTTATAGAGTTCCTCCTTCAAGTCATGGAAGATTTTCTCATCTCCTGGAATTGGTTCTGTTTTCTCTTGCGTCTCACTGAGTATTGTTACAATGAATATTCTGAATTCTTTTTCTTACATTTCTGTGAGTTATGATCCTTTAGGGAGGAGGTATTTCCTGATTTTCTCCTGTTTCTTGGAGGTCTGCTTTGGTTTTTAGTCATCTGGTGAGACACTCACTCCTTCCTACTTCTTTGGAGTATGCTTCTATAGCTGTGTGCTCCTGTACTTCTCTTTGATATGCGTAAGCTCTGTGCCAATATCCATCCTCTACTGTGGGTGAGAGTGCGGAACCCACAGTAGGAGCTTTGGGTTCAGGTTTTCAGAGGGAAGTCTCTCTCCATTTACTGCTAAGGGAGTTACGGGTAATGAATTTCTCCAATCTCCTGAATTCAGGTGTTTGGTTCTGAGTGCTCAAACCTAGCTACTCCCAGTGTGGATGGAGGTTTCGCTGACAGGTAAGATCTAAGGTGATAGACCAGTTCACCTGGTGCGCTTGTGCTGCAGGCTGGGGAGCCCTGGAGAGCAGGCTTGCCTGTCTGTTGGTCCTGGATGGGTGAGGGGCAAGATGGCATCAGCACACATGGGGTAACATCTCCTGTCTTCCGTCTCTGGGATTGCAGGGTCTCCCTGTTGCCCCTGCTTTCTCTTGGATTGCAGGAACCAGGTCATTTGTTCTTGAAGGCCAGAGAGCCCCTCCTCCCCCACAGCAGGCTGGGCTGGGGCCCTGCTGATGAGCTCAAGCCGAGCAGCTTGACTTGGACCTGCCTGTTGGTCTTTCTCTCTCTGGGATTGCAGGGTTTCCCTGTTGCTCCTACTTTCTCTCTGATAGAATTTTTAAAGTTACAGATTAAAAAACAATTTTTTTATATTTTTCTTTTTAACATTTAAATTGTGAAATACATGGTATTGTTTTATCACATATGTATATACAATATATTGCTTAATTCTGCTTGTCTTTGTACTTTATATGAATGAATCTACACATAGGCACATTGCTGCTAATTACCTTGATTTATGCTTATGTGATTCCTTCATATTGATACTCGTAGCTATAAATCATTCATTTTCACCAACGTGTAGTATTCTCATCATGGAAATATGCCAACTTTGCTACCCATATTTTTCTTTTTAAATTTTAAAAAAATTTACTTCTTCCATGAAGAGGAGAGACAAAGAGAGAGAGAGACCAAGAGAGAAACAAAGAGAAATAATAGCCCCAATAGGGTCTTGATGTTCTGATCGACTCCAGCTTCAGCCAGCCCTGGATGATGAGCACACCTGTGCCTGGCACACTCAGAAAGCTTTCCAGATGTGGGACCAGCAGTTAGCGTAATGGTTATGTCACTGGACTCCCACGTAGTCGACTGTGGTTCGAGAACCGAACCTGGTGGCTTAAACTCACGCCGGGCGCGTGTGCATGTGTGCCCAAGATCCTGAGAGGAGAATGGAGGAAAAGGGATTGTGGCATGGCCATCCCCCCGAAGGCTAATTTCTTGCTTTCTGTCTCTCTGTCTCTTTGTCTTTCTGGTGAGCACACGCACCCTATAGCAAAAACCTCTTCAAAAAAAAAAAAAAAAAAGTTGTCAAGATGAGAACGTGGAACCTTCCCACATGGGTTAGTATCTCAGAGTGCTGTGTTTCACTGCTGTGCCATCTTCAGGCTCCACCATTATATTTGATGGGCATTTGGATTTTACCTCAAGGCCAATAATTCATTTGAACAATGTTGTCGTAAGCATTTCAAAATATGTCTCCTAGCACGAACGTTACAGGAGTTCCTCCAGGCTACATACCTGGGAACGGCGTGCTTGGAGTTGGGCGTGGGGCAGATACGGTAAGCCTCGGCTCACATCTGCAGATTATACAAACTGTTTTCCAAAGTAACCGTGCCAGTTTAGAGTCCTACCATCAGGGACCGGCAGTGTCTGATGCTGCATATCCTGGGTGAACTTTTGTCTGGGGAGATTTCAAAAGTTTTACCAATTTGGTGGCATTTGTTTCATGTATATCAGTCATTCATGTTTCCTCTTCAGTCAAATGGTTGTTCATGTCTTTAGCCTGTTTTTCTTCTATGCCTTTTCTGATTTGTAGAATTATTTTACATAGTCTATAAACCTGATTACTGTCAATTATATAAGCCATAATTTATCTTCTCCCATCTTGTGTACTTTCACTCCCCTATGGAATATTTTGATGGAGTTCTTAATTCTAATGCAGTCTTATTAATGAATGATTTTCATCCTTAAGATTTGCATCTTTTGTGTCTTATTCTAAATTCTTCATTCCACAATCATATATATATTCCCTTTCACTTTCTTCTCACTGGCCTGTGATGTCAGCTTCGTTCTGGACTGTGGGTCTGTTTGGGGACTCTGTTACGTTCCATTACACCAAACTTCAGTGTCTCAATGACTAAAGCTTTATATAACAGTAAATCTTGATTGCTTGGTAGGCAAAATGAAATCTGCTTTGAAACATTTTTAGTTTTATAAACAAACTAAGGAAGACAAGAACTAGAACTTACTTTGCTCTGGGTTGATGAACTAATCCCGGAATCTCTTTATTAGTTTTAAGTCTTACATTTGAGCTGGCACTTTTTTCCTGAAACACATAAGCACACATATATACAAGAAGGTCAGACTCTGCAGTTAAATAATAGCATGGGTTTCTATCACAGCAATGTTAGTTGTGGGACCCTGTGCCATAGCTGGCTACTTGACAAGGACGAAAGTCCCTGCAAAGCTCCACGGAACACGTGGGACCTGCCAAACGCTGTAAACAGGGAACACACGTACGAAAGAGGAACTGGCTGTCTAACGCGATGAGAAAACAATGTTGAGAAAACAATGTGCAACTAATATTTAATTCTTCCATTCTAAGAGCAAGAGAATCAAAGAACAGAGGTTTTAGCGTCAAAAAGAACGGCAGCAGTACAATTAAGCCATTGTCTACTTGTCCAGGTTAAGTGATTTAAGTGCATTTTATTTGTAAAAGACAACTACAGTTCTGAGACACAAAGTTTGCATAAGGTCCTAGCTGTGACAGGGACAAGAACATGACTGAAATCAAGTAAGATTCTCAATCCACAACAAATACTGGGATGGGATTGGACTGAATGAAGAACATTCAATACTAGCCTGTATTCAAGAAGCACTCCTTCGGCTGTGAGTCTGAGTTGATTTTTTATTTCCAGTATACGAGTCATATGGGAAAGGAATACTCTCAGATTTTAAAATGCCAGTCTATCAGTAAGTACACCATCTCCACAACACTACCGTTCTGTGTTTTAACTACATCATCTTTAAAAAAATGTTCAAGGCGAGGCCCAACCCCTGTGATACAGTGACAACACAGTGCTGTGTGAGTCTGGAAGCCACGTGGCCGACTGAGGGTTCAGTTCCTGGGGCTGTCCTAAAAACGCACTGGCGAACACATGGGTGCCCAGAATTCTGAGGATGTGGTGGGCTCAAGGAAGGGGGATTGTGGCATGATGAGACCCTGTTGAGGATGCTTCCCACCTTCTCTCCTGCCCTCTCTCACGTGTGCGCACAAGTGCTATCATGAAAAAGTATTCAAAGTGTTTTATAATTTGATTGCAAAACATATCCCTAAAATGAAAGACTATTCTAAGCCTATTTAAGCCTGCATTTGTTTATATACACTCAGGAAACTTGAAGTGTGGCCATAATTAAAAGCCTCTTCAAGGGTGAGGAATAAAAACGATGTGCCCACTCAACCTCCCTACCACTTACAGAGTGGTGAGAATGACACAGAACACAGAAGGTCCCCACGTGAACTCTTTCAAGTTCATTTTTCTCCTAGGACAGCAGAAGTCATTTGCGTCAGCGAAACTCCAAAGACTTAATTGCCCTGGTTGCTTGCTGTTTACCATTAAACATGGGCTTTTTTGTGTAACAGGAATCCTAAAAAAAATATGGTAATTTTGTTTATGTTCATCCAGGAAAAGAATCCTAACCATCTTGCCATCTTTCTTACCTTTACATTACACTAAGCTTAGGAATTTAAGAAGATAAAACACATACTGTTCTTTTTGCTGTTGTCCTCAGGGAACAGGAGTTGAACTACTGTCTCTTTTACAAAACAGGTGGGAGAAACCAGAACACTCTCATGCCCTGGCTCTAGAAGGTCAAGTCCCACGACCTCCCCTCACTGTTGGGCCTTGGTGCCCAGCAGGGGCCCTGACACTTTGTGGGAGGCACACAACAAATCTTGGAAGAATTAATGAATGACATCAACAAGAGATTAACTTCTCTGGAAAAGTTAGAGATAAAAAGAGTTCAAATATAGTCAGTCCGTAGGACTGAAGACTAGTTCCAGAATGGAACTCACTCTGAAAATAGTTTTGGTTTTAAAAAAAATATATAAGGAAAATAGGAACTGGAACTGCCAAGTGAAAGTTGGTCATTGTCTCCCTTACACTTCACGTCCACCTAAACGTTGAAAGTGAACATGGATGACATGACAGACCTCAACCTTTGTCTCCGAGTCACACAATTGCTCCAATTCTTGGAGCTAAAATGATACACCATGCTGAGACAGGAAAGCCACTTCTAATTTTAAGAACACATACGATACACAATTGCATTCTGTTTATTAAAAAAAAATCCCTTCCAAATGACTCTCATCAAATCTTCCTTAAGGTTCCATTCTGAAGTGTCTAAGGATGAATCCCTCAAACAACAGAGGCCCAATGGATAGGAAGGGGAGAGAGGCGCCAGCCTTCAATATGTTGGCCATAGACATGTACTTCCAGGACCAAAGGCGAGGCTGAGGCAAACAGGAAAAGCAGCTTCAGATTTCCCAGTTAAAAAAAAAATAAGTATATAGGGGGACCAGCAGTTGGTGTAATGGCTATGTCATTGGACTACCATGTAGTCAACTGCGGTTCGAGTCCCAGACCCGGTGGCTTAAACTCATGCCGGGCGTGTGTGAGTGCATGCCCAAGATCCCAAGAGGAGAATGGGGGAGAAGGGATTGTGGCGTGGCCATCCCCCGTGAGGGGGGTGATTTCTCACTTTCTGTTTGTCTCTGTCTTTCTGGCAAGTGCATGTGTCCTATAGCAAAAACCTCTTAAAAAAAAAAAAAAAAGAGAGAGTAAAAAAAGTGTATATAGGGCCAGGTGGGGGCACAATGGTGAAGTAAATGGACCACATGGGAAAGGTCCTGCTGGGTTGACCTCCCAGTCACAGCAATGTTAGTTGTGGGACCCTGTGCCATAGCTGGCTACTTGACAAGGACGAAAGTCCCTGCAAAGCTCCACGGAACACGTGGGACCTGCCAAACGCTGTAAACAGGGAACACACGTACGAAAGAGGAACTGGCTGTCTAACGCGATGAGAAAACAATGTTGAGAAAACAATGTGCAACTAATATTTAATTCTTCCATTCTAAGAGCAAGAGAATCAAAGAACAGAGGTTTTAGCGTCAAAAAGAACGGCAGCAGTACAATTAAGCCATTGTCTACTTGTCCAGGTTAAGTGATTTAAGTGCATTTTATTTGTAAAAGACAACTACAGTTCTGAGACACAAAGTTTGCATAAGGTCCTAGCTGTGACAGGGACAAGAACATGACTGAAATCAAGTAAGATTCTCAATCCACAACAAATACTGGGATGGGATTGGACTGAATGAAGAACATTCAATACTAGCCTGTATTCAAGAAGCACTCCTTCGGCTGTGAGTCTGAGTTGATTTTTTATTTCCAGTATACGAGTCATATGGGAAAGGAATACTCTCAGATTTTAAAATGCCAGTCTATCAGTAAGTACACCATCTCCACAACACTACCGTTCTGTGTTTTAACTACATCATCTTTAAAAAAATGTTCAAGGCGAGGCCCAACCCCTGTGATACAGTGACAACACAGTGCTGTGTGAGTCTGGAAGCCACGTGGCCGACTGAGGGTTCAGTTCCTGGGGCTGTCCTAAAAACGCACTGGCGAACACATGGGTGCCCAGAATTCTGAGGATGTGGTGGGCTCAAGGAAGGGGGGTTGTGGCATGATGAGACCCTGTTGAGGATGCTTCCCACCTTCTCTCCTGCCCTCTCTCACGTGTGCGCACAAGTGCTATCATGAAAAAGTATTCAAAGTGTTTTATAATTTGATTGCAAAACATATCCCTAAAATGAAAGACTATTCTAAGCCTATTTAAGCCTGCATTTGTTTATATACACTCAGGAAACTTGAAGTGTGGCCATAATTAAAAGCCTCTTCAAGGGTGAGGAATAAAAACGATGTGCCCACTCAACCTCCCTACCACTTACAGAGTGGTGAGAATGACACAGAACACAGAAGGTCCCCACGTGAACTCTTTCAAGTTCATTTTTCTCCTAGGACAGCAGAAGTCATTTGCGTCAGCGAAACTCCAAAGACTTAATTGCCCTGGTTGCTTGCTGTTTACCATTAAACATGGGCTTTTTTGTGTAACAGGAATCCTAAAAAAAATATGGTAATTTTGTTTATGTTCATCCAGGAAAAGAATCCTAACCATCTTGCCATCTTTCTTACCTTTACATTACACTAAGCTTAGGAATTTAAGAAGATAAAACACATACTGTTCTTTTTGCTGTTGTCCTCAGGGAACAGGAGTTGAACTACTGTCTCTTTTACAAAACAGGTGGGAGAAACCAGAACACTCTCATGCCCTGGCTCTAGAAGGTCAAGTCCCACGACCTCCCCTCACTGTTGGGCCTTGGTGCCCAGCAGGGGCCCTGACACTTTGTGGGAGGCACACAACAAATCTTGGAAGAATTAATGAATGACATCAACAAGAGATTAACTTCTCTGGAAAAGTTAGAGATAAAAAGAGTTCAAATATAGTCAGTCCGTAGGACTGAAGACTAGTTCCAGAATGGAACTCACTCTGAAAATAGTTTTGGTTTTAAAAAAAATATATAAGGAAAATAGGAACTGGAACTGCCAAGTGAAAGTTGGTCATTGTCTCCCTTACACTTCACGTCCACCTAAACGTTGAAAGTGAACATGGATGACATGACAGACCTCAACCTTTGTCTCCGAGTCACACAATTGCTCCAATTCTTGGAGCTAAAATGATACACCATGCTGAGACAGGAAAGCCACTTCTAATTTTAAGAACACATACGATACACAATTGCATTCTGTTTATTAAAAAAAAATCCCTTCCAAATGACTCTCATCAAATCTTCCTTAAGGTTCCATTCTGAAGTGTCTAAGGATGAATCCCTCAAACAACAGAGGCCCAATGGATAGGAAGGGGAGAGAGGCGCCAGCCTTCAATATGTTGGCCATAGACATGTACTTCCAGGACCAAAGGCGAGGCTGAGGCAAACAGGAAAAGCAGCTTCAGATTTCCCAGTTAAAAAAAAAATAAGTATATAGGGGGACCAGCAGTTGGTGTAATGGCTATGTCATTGGACTACCATGTAGTCAACTGCGGTTCGAGTCCCAGACCCGGTGGCTTAAACTCATGCCGGGCGTGTGTGAGTGCATGCCCAAGATCCCAAGAGGAGAATGGGGGAGAAGGGATTGTGGCGTGGCCATCCCCCGTGAGGGGGGTGATTTCTCACTTTCTGTTTGTCTCTGTCTTTCTGGCAAGTGC